TCATTTTCCATCCAGCAGTCAGAATGATCTTGACAGAATGAAGATAATTCCAATTGTATCACACCTCTGTGCAAAACCTGCCAGTGTTCTGCACAGCAAACATTGTGAATGAATGTTCTGACTCACAAATCAGTGTGAAATATTGTCAAACATGAAACAACAGAGTGAAAAGGCAGCCTACAGAAAGGAAAATATATTTTTGCCCTAATAATATATTAACCCCCTAAAATATCCAGAATATGCAAAGAACTCCTACAACATAACAATAAAAAACAAATAATCTAATTTAAAAATGGGCAAAGGACTTAAATGGACATTTCTCTAAAGAAGATATACACATGGCCAACAAACATTGAAAAGATGCTCTACATCATGAATCATCACATACCCATATTCATTGCAGCATTATTCACAATTACCAAGAGGTGGAAACAACTAAATGTCAGTTGACAGATGAGTGGATAAAGAAAAGTTTGTATATTCAAAAAATGGAATCTTATTCAGCCTTAAAAAAGAAGGAAATCCTATCATATGCTATAACATCGCTGAACCTTAGGGATATGATGCTAAGTGAAATAAGCCAAAAAGACAAAATTCTGCATGATTTCAGTTATATGAAGTATCTGAAGTAGTCAAACTCTTAGAAACAGAAAGTAGAAAGGTGGTTGCCAGGAGCTGGGGAGAGTGGCAAAAGGGAGTTGTTTATAATGGATATGGAGCTTCATTTTTTGCGAGATGAAAATGTTCTAGAGCTCTGTTGTACAACAATGTGAATATAGTTAACACGATTGTGCTGTACATGTAAAAATGGTTAATATGGTGAATTTTGTATTGTGTGTTCTTTAGTGCAATAAAACAAAAACCAAATCCCTCCTGTGGTTCCTACTGCACTTAGAATAAGATCCCCAACTTCTTACCCTAGCTGCCAAAGCTGTTTATGATCTTGTTTTGCCAGAATCGCTAAACCTCATCTTGTGCCATTCTTCCCTTGTCTGTTATTGTCCAGCCACAGTTGCTTTCTTTCTATTCCTTACACTCACCAAACTTTTCCCCTGCCTTTGGAATGTTTTTCCCGCTGACTTTTACCAGGCTGGCTGCATCTTGTTTTTTCAGATCTTGACTTAATATTACTTCCTCATGAAGCCTTTTTGTGACTACCTAGTCTCTAGTTGCCACCAATCACTAGCTATATCATGTCACTGTACTTAAATTTCTAGGCTGGGTGTGGTGGCTCACGCCTGTAATCCCAGCACTTTGGGAGGCTGAGGCAGGTGGATCACGAGGTCAAGAGATGGAGACCATCCTGGCCAACATGGTGAAACCCCATCTCTACTAAAAATACAAAAAATTAGCTGGGTGTGGTGGCGTGAGCCTGTAGTCCTAGCTACTTGGGAAGTTGAGGCAGGAGAATTGCTTGAATCTGGGAGGTGGAGGTTGCAGTGCGCCAAGATCATGCCACTGTACTCCAGCCTGGCGTCAGAGCGAGACTCAGTCTCTAAAACAAACAAACAAAATTCTGCATAGCACTTCTCACTCTCTGATATTTTTCTTATTTATATTTGTTTACTGTCTGATTCCCCTATATAATAATTTTATAAGTTTTTTATATTTTAGAATTTAAAGTTTTTAAACTTTAAAAGAATGTTATGAGAAAGCAGGGACCTTGTCTGTTTTGTTCATCACCGTATCCCAAGCACCTAGAATAGGTGCCTGGCATATATGCCTGGCATATAGTAGGTGCTCAATAAATATTTGCTGAATGAAAACTGAGCTTCCTATTCTTAAATGATCATTTCTTGAAAAGGACTACTCTTCTCCCCAAGCTCCAGACCTGTCTTTTTGAATTACTTCTTGGGTATTTCTGTCTAAATATTCTACAGATACCTCAAATTCAACATGCCCCTTTCTGCTCAGTTACTCTTGCAGACCTTATTTTTTCTCTGTTAATGGCATCATCATTAGCCTGATTGATCAGGCCAGAGGTCCTCTTTGATTCCTTTCTTTCTCTCAACTCCCACTATCTATCAGATCCTGTCAGTATCTTATCTCACATCTTTCCCTTTTCTTCCACACAGTTGCCACCACAACATTTTAGGCCTAATTACTTTTTACTTGGATCATTGTAAGAAACTGCCTGACTGGGCTTTTTGCTTCCAATCCCGCACACTTTTCCAGACTGTACTATCTTCTATTCATCATGCTACTTTTCTATTCAAAACTAACAGATGAAATGTCATTTTTTTTATGCCTTAGAAAGCCATGGAAACCTTTATCCTCAGCCTCCTTTAGACCCCAGTTACCTTTCCAGCCTCACCATTCAAGATACCCCTGCAGCTCTGTGCTCCTGCCCTCATTCTGTGGCCTTGTCAGCCTCATAACTGGTGGTCAGTATACACCAGCAGCCTCCACCTTTACAAAGCCATTTCCCCTGACTACAGTGCTCCTGAACCCCCACATCTCTTTGGCTGACTCATAGTTTTGTCTTTAAGATCTAACTAAAAAACTGCCTCCCCAAGAAGCCTTTATAGATCTTCCCTCAACTCCAAAATTGAAATTAGTGGCATAGACCCATAATATCTCTATTATTAATATCATTTTTTTTTCTTTTTTTCTTTTTTTTCCAAGATAGGATCTTACTTTGTTACCCAGATTGGAGTGCAGTGGTGCAATCTTGGCTCACTGCAGCCTTGACCTCCTGAGCTTAAGCGATCCTCGCACCTCAACCTCCTGAGTAGCTGTGATGACAGGCATGTGCCACCATGCCCAGCTAATTTTTTTGTATTTTTTGTAGAGATGGGGTTTTGCTGTGTTGCCTAGGCTGGTCTCGACCTCTGAGCTCAAGAAATCTGCCCAGCCTCCCAAAATATTTATTGAGCACCTACTATATGCTAGGCACTATTTTAGGTACTGCCCTCAGCCTCTCAAAGTGTTAAGATTACAGGCATGAGCCACCTCGCCCAGCCTATTATCATTTTTTAAATTGTGGTAAAGTACACATAATATAAAATTTACCATTGTAACTATTTTTAAGGGTACAATTCCCTGTCATTAAGTGCATTTACATTGCTATACAACATTCACCACTCTCCTCTACTGTCATATTTAATTATTTATGGATGTGGTTGTCCCCTCCTCTGATTAGAAACAAACACTTGGCATTATTTGTAAGTGCTGAATTAACATGGATGAACATGAATATAATCAGATCATCTCCTGAGATGAGGTGTCACGTCACCAGCATCCTTGTGATCCTGCTTGGTTAACTTGAGGATTGTGTTCAGTTTTCTTCTTTGTACTTACTCAAAATGGCATTGGTTAGAGTTCATGGAGTCCTGGATTTTTAAAGGTTCTTTGCCCAATTTCTTCTTTAGAAGTTTTTGATGCTTTACACTTAACCTAACTTTTTTGTCTTACCGGTATCTATCCTATAAATATGCCAGTGAAATGGAGCATATTGCGTTAGGTAAGGTGTGCATATTTCAAGAACTAGATGTGTTTCAAAGCACATAATAAAACTTCAGCAAAAATGAGGTTAAGCGTTTAGGCTCCAATAATATTGCTACGATTTTATTTCTGTCAAAGTTTTGTTATTTTTGCTATATTGTTTGCTTTTCTTCAATGTTTTATAAGCCCCTGTTCTGTGATGAACTCCTAATAAGCTGTGCTTAAAACTATGACATTGACCTTTCTCCAGAACCAGGTTTCAGAATTGTCTGTTTTTCACATTCTCTCCCTGCCTTTTCTCTTATAATCAAATCAGCATGTTTTTGTTTTTGTTTTGGAGACGGAGTCTCACTCTGTTGTCCAGGCTGGAGTGCAGTGGCACTATCTCTGCTAATTGCAACCTCTGCCTCCTGGGTTCAAGCAATTCTTCTGCCTCAGCCTCCCCAGTAGCTGGGACTACAGGCGTGTGCCACCACACCCAGCTAATTTTTTGTATTTTTAGTAGAGACAGGATTTCACCATGTTGCCCAGGCTAGTCTCAAACTCCTGAACTCAGGCAATCTGCCCTTCTCCACCTCACAAAGTGCTAGGATTACAGGCATGGGCCATTGTGCCCGGCCCAAATCAGCATGTGTTTTTAAACATCATAGAATGCGAGGGTTGGAAGGGTCTTTTGTGATCAGCTAACATTCACTTTGTATATAAATAAATAAATAAATAAATACCCATGTTAATGCCAAAGGGTTCTCATCCAGTAAGTGGCAGAAGAATCTATGATGGAAGCATATCTTTTGGTGCTGTCAGTGAAAGGGAAGTTATTCTCCCTCCTGATCTGAAGGGTCCTATGTGACATCATCTGAGAGGCACTGGGGGTTGAGGAAAGATGACCCTTAAAATCTGCATTTGCGCTTTGCAAGAGCAAGGCAAGATCACAGAGAAGTTACACATGCTCCTTTCTTCACTTTTTAGTCTTTATCCGCTAAAAACAAGATGTGAGAAAATCAAGTGACAAGAATGATAGGGTAATAGGCTGTCAACAAAATGAGTGTGTGGGCTTATATAGGTATAAATGTGGTGAAGGTCATAGACCATGGATGCTTATTCCCTTTTAAGTTCCACCTTCCATTTAACACATTTTGAAAGAATTTATTGTGTCTTATTTTCCCCTTTGTGCCCCACTTTTCGTATCTGTAAAATGGATGAAATAGTAGTATCTGAAATAGTACATACAATTGCTGTAAAGATTAAATGCTAATACACATAAAGCTCTTAGAACAGGTCTGGTATATAATAAACACTCAAAGCTATTATCGTTATTGTTACTGGTATTAACTGATATCTTTGTACTTTTCATAACTGCTCATTCTATTAATTAAATGTATTTTTCACTATATGTTCTTTTTCAATGTATATTCCTTTTAACCTTCCTTCTTAGCCTCCACTATAGTTCAGATGCCTTCTACAATTTCAAACAATTTAATGAAAAGAAAAGAAAATTTATACATGCAGAGTTGGCTGATTTAATTTCTTCAGTCTTTTGGAGGGTATAATTATTTTCCTTCTGAGAGTAAACTTATTTTTTCCATGTTACAGGTGGTATGCAAGATTACAATTATGTGTGGGCCAACTGTTTTGAGATCACATTAGAACTGTCTTGTTGCAAGTACCCACCTGCTTCACAGCTTCGACAGGAATGGGAGAACAATCGTGAGTCTTTGATCACATTGATTGAAAAGGTAAAAGTAGATGACTGAAAGGTTGGGGTATAGAAACAGGATTAAATAAGAGAGAAATCTGGATGCATGTGAATGACAATCTATACAGTATTAGATGTCCTTTATCTGTTTTTACTACTTAAGATTATAAATTATCTTTAAAGATTATTAGGTTACAATCTATTAAAACATATTCTAGTTCTGCTTCCCCTGCCCCTTACCCCCAGCTCTCTGCTCCATAGGGCTTCCTTTGCCTGTCTTGGAACACTTACTTATACAAACTGAAATAATTAGCCAAATTTGTACTTTCAGGTTCTTACAATGTCACGTGATCGTATTTGCTAGTGAGCCTTTACCACTATATGAACCATGGACATCAGTTTAATTTAAACATCACACAGACTAATACAGCAATTGGATATACCAGCAATTACACCCTGTTGAGAAAACTAGAAGTCTGGCTTTGAGGAGAGGGAATTTTAAAAGCACCGTACTAGTGTCGAGTTCAGACACATGGCTTAAGTTTAAGGATTTACTACTTCTGTCTGTATTTTATTTAAACTTCAAGGGATTGAAAATGTTTTGGGGGAGAGAGAAGAGTCACTTTATTTTTTAGAAATTCTACTATCAGTGCAGAGAAAAGTTGTGCCCTCTTGCGTTCTAAATTCATGGTCTCTGAACTTGGATTCTTGTCTTCTTAGGTTCACATTGGAGTAAAAGGATTTGTTAAAGATTCCATAACAGGATCTGGTTTAGAGAATGCAACCATCTCAGTGGCTGGTATTAATCATAATATCACGACAGGCAGATTTGGTGATTTCTACCGATTACTTGTTCCTGGAACTTATAACCTTACAGTAGTTTTAACTGGGTAAGAATTTAAACTATGTAGACTCTTAGTTAAAATGTCAAGTCTCTGTTTAATATCTAAGACAGAAATATAGTCTAGTACATGTTGTTTATTTTTGTGGCTTTTATTTTTCCGTATTTTCTGATTTTTCTCCTTTTGTAATAAGAAAATACTATTGTGGAGTTTTTTGTCACATAGTCTAATGGTACAATGGGATATGAAGCATAGTTGTAGCAATAGAGGAAGGACAGTTTTTAAAACGTGAAAAGATATTCAGTTGTGTAAAGCATTGCCTTAAAGCTAACTGAATACCAGAGTAGAAGAAACCCAGTGCTCTGTAAATGACACTTTTGAAGAACTGTCTTAACAGCTTTCTAATTTATTAAATGAGTGGTTTCGCCGGGCGCGGTGGCTCAAGCCTGTAATCCCAGCACTTTGGGAGGCTGAGACGGGCGGATCATGAGGTCAGGAGATCGAGACCATCCTGGCTAACACGGTGAAACCCCGTGTCTACTAAAAAATACAAAAAACTAGACGGGCGAGGTGGTGGGCGCCTGTAGTCCCAGCTACTCGGGAGGCTGAGGCAGGAGAATGGCGTAAACCCGGGAGGCGGAGCTTGCAGTGAGCTGAGATCCGGCCACTGCACTCCAGCTTGGGCGACAGCGCGAGACTCCGTCTCAAAAATAAATAAATAAATATAAATAAATAAATAAATAAATAAATAAATAAATAAATAAATAAATGAGTGGTTTCCCACCTCCCCTGGAAAGCTTTCTGGAAGCTCACTTTGATAAGGATTTAATTGATAACCTTTAATCTTGAACTTTCCTGCTTGAAAAAGAAGTTGGAATGTCAGTTTGATAAGACACTGCAAAGAATTGTATAATTTATCCCTTGTTTGAGTACTGTAGCAGCGGTTACAATGGAGTAACAGCCGCATCTTTCAACATGTTCTTTCCTTTGAATGTAATTTTTTTGGTATACATTCTAGTGTGTGGTACTTGAGAAGATTTGGTAAGAGAAATAGTTGTTTAATCTGGGGTTCTTTGTGAAATAATGTCCTAAAACTCTTAAATTTACACATCTCTATTTAGTTTGAGTTTTGATAGATTGCTAAGCATAAGAGGATGAAAAGGCTTCTGTGCTTTTATAATGTTAAAGCATTGTATGTCTTAACTATAAACCGTTTACTTTTCCAATTTTTTTTCTCAGGTATATGCCATTGACTGTTACTAATATAGTGGTGAAAGAAGGACCAGCCACAGAGGTGGATTTGTCTCTTAGGCCAACTGTAACTTCAGTAATCCCTGACACAACAGAGGCTGTAGCAACTGCTAGCACAGTTGCTATACCTAATATTCTTTCTGGAACATCATCCTCCTACCAGCCAATTCAGCCGAAGGACTTTCACCACCACCATTTCCCTGATATGGAAATCTTCTTGAGAAGGTTTGCCAATGAATATCCTAACATTACCCGGCTTTATTCATTGGGAAAATCAGTGGAGTCAAGAGAACTTTATGTGATGGAGATATCTGATAATCCAGGTGTCCATGAACCAGGTAACTGGTATGGTCTTACACATAATTTCAGTAGTGCCCCTCAAAGCCATGTTCAATATTGCTATGTTTCATCCAGAAAGGTCGCCTACAGTTTGTATAACTGGCATTAAGAAAACCTAACTAAAATTAAAAGAAAGCAAAAAAAAAAAAATGTAACTAATCTTTTCCCGTAAAAGAGGAAATCCTTTTGCTAACCCATATTAGGCATGGTATTTAATATGTGCATAGATTAGATTTATTCTGCTAATAGTGTTTTATTTATTTATATTACATGGCATATATATACTTTGAGCCTGCTCAGACATACGTATTAGTAAGGAAACTGCTTTATAAGATGTTTCTGAAGGTTTTTTCTGCCTCCTTTGCCAAAATACATGTTTAAAAAAATTTTAGTACAGGATTTATATATGTTGGGGAAAAAAACAGAGTCCATGATGATTAAAAACGAAAAAAAGCCTTCCATGTAATTACTTTGTTTTCAGGTGAACCAGAATTTAAGTACATTGGAAATATGCATGGAAATGAAGTGGTTGGAAGAGAACTGCTGTTGAACCTTATCGAATACCTTTGTAAGAACTTTGGAACAGACCCTGAAGTCACAGATTTGGTTCATAGCACTAGAATTCACCTTATGCCATCCATGAATCCTGATGGATATGAAAAGTCCCAGGAAGGTAAAGAATAGCTATTAATTCTTAATCATTTTGATCATCATATAGAATGATTATTTTGATGTAGAACAGAATTTGAACTGGTTCTTTCGGAATTTCTTCCTATTTTTTTCCTTATAATTTGTGATTGATTTTAGCTCTTGTATTCTTATATGATGATCTGGTCTGTTCAGGAATTATGTGATCAAATTTATATATTTAGTGGTGTTTTCCATTTGGTAATGGTTCTTATTTACTAGAAATAGAATATAAGACTTTTACAAATTGTTTTATTTCAGCAATAGTTCTGTTGACAAAGAGTCAAACTCTGTAAAATATTTGAAGGGATTTATTCTGAGCCAAATATGAGTGACTATGGCCCATGACACAGCCCTCAGACCCTGACGACATGTGTTCAGAGTAGTCAGGGTGCAGCTTGGTTTTATACATTTTAAGAAGACATGAGACATCAATCAAACACATTTAAGATATACATTGGTTTGGTCCAAAAAGGGGTGAGGGTTGAAAGAGTTATTATCAATTGAAAGGAATGTCTGGGTTAGGATAAGAGGTTGTAGTTACCAAAGTTTGATCATGTAGATGAAGCCTCCAGGTAGCAGGCTTCACAGAGAATAGATTGTAAATGTTTCTTATCAGACTTAAGGCCTCTGTTGGTATTAAATGTTGATTGGCTTTTCCTGATTTCCAAAAGAGAGGAGGCATAATGAGGCATGTCTGACCCCCATTTCCCGTCACGGGCTGAACCAGTCTTTCAGGTTAACTTTGGAGTGCCCTGGTCAAGAGGAGGGAATCTATTCAGATAGGCCCTGCCTATTGAGCAGGGCCTTAGAATTTTATTTTGAGTTTACAGTTCTTATTAAATTATTATTTTGGAAACCTTATTTCATAAGTGAAAAATCAAACCAGATAACTCTCTGAGCCAGTGACTCTGTTTTGACTCTTAGTTCTACTCCCTGTGCATGTTCCAGACTTGCTAATTTATTGACTTCCCGATTTCTTTGCCTTCTCTGGGCAAGCCCATCTTTCCTGGGGCGTTATGGTATGGGCTGGGACAGCAGACCCTTATAAACAACACTAGGGGAGTGAGAGTTCATCTTTTCCCAGCCCATGATTTCTTCCAGCCAATGATATCTATCAGGCACCACAGTATAATATGGAGCCTCATGACTTATTACTAGCACTGACTGGATCATTGGGAGGATCAGTTGGTCATTAGTTGGTCATTAGTACCCAGGAGTTGGTCATTAGTACCCAGAAGCTCTCTTGAACAAATGGGCACAAGATCTTACTGTATATGTATATATTTTAGATTTTTCCCCCTAAGGTTCTCATTCTCTGTCAGTGCCACAAATCTCTCCTACGTACTCCCTAGACCGTTCTGAAAGGTGGAACTAATTACACTAGTAAGCCCTCCAGTTTTCTTCAGTCTCTTGCAATTTTTCTCATTATAATGACAATAGTAAGGCTCCTACTCCGTATTAAAATGGAATATGCACAGTTAAGCTTAAATTGAACTTTCTCCTCCGTCAGGTTAAACTTCCAGCTGTGTTCTTGGCTAACTTTACCTTTTTGTGATCACTTTAATGTGAGCATATCACAATTTTCTTTTCATTTGGTCTATTTCTTACAATGTCTTAGTGAGCTTTATACAAGTACAGAGAGGAGTGTAGAGTTCCTGGCCAGGCGTAGTGGCTCACGCTTATAATCCCAGCACTTTGGGAGGTCGAGGTGGGTGGATCATTTGAGGCCAGGAGTTCAAGAGCAGCCTGGCCAACATGGTGAAACCCTGTTTCTACTGAAAATACAAAAATGTAGCTGGACGTGGTGGCACATACCTGTAATTCCAGCTACTTGGGGGGCTGAGGCACAAGAATTGCTTGAACCCGGGAGGTGGAGGTAGCAGTGAGCCGAGATGGCGCCACTGCACTATAGTCTAGGCCACAGAATGAGACTCTGTCTCAAAAAAAAAAAAAAAAGAAAAAGAAAAAAGAGTATAGAGTTTCCCTCTGATCAGTAATTTCCATTCAACATTGTGATCATGTCATTATATGTGGATTAGTGACACTTAAACAGTGCTTTAATGTAATTTGTCTAATTGGAATTTTTTTCCTCCCAGATTATGAGCAGAGGACAAAAATAAAACGATAATGGTTTTACCTTTCTGTTCAAAATATCTGGAAGAGATACAGTTTTTAAACACATAGTGTGAAAAAGATGTGTTTTAATTGTAATGCCCAGCCAGGCACTGTGGCTCACACCTGTAATCCCAGCACTTTGGGAGGCTGAGGCGGGTGGATCACAAGGTCAGGAGTTTGAGACCAGCCTGGCGAACATGGTGAAATCTCATCTCTACTAAAGATACAGAAAATTAGCTGGGTGTGGTGGTGCACACCTGTAATCCCAGCTACTGGCGTGGCTGAGGCAGGAGAATCGCTTGAACCTGGGAAGCAGAGGTTGCAGTAAGCTGAGATTGTGCCATTGCACTCCAGCCTGGGCAACAAGGCGAGACTCCATCTCAAAAAAAAAAAAAAAAAAAAAAAAAAAAGTAATGTCTTACAGGTTCTTCCTGCCTGCTACACAGGCAAAACAGTGCATTGAGACCATGGTATCGCATTAAAGAGTTTAATTAATGCAAGGCCAGCCACGCAGGAGAACTGGAGTTATCACTCAAATCAGTCTCCCCGAAGGCTCAGAGATTAGGGTTTTTCAAAGATAGTTTGATGGACAAGGGGCTAGAGAATGGGTTGATTGGTTGGAGATGAAATCATAGGGATGTGGAAAACAGTCCTCATGTGCTGAGTCAGCTTCTGGTTGGGAGCCACAGGACCAGCTGAGTTACAAGTCACTGGTCTTGGTGATGTCAGCTGGTTGTCAGAAATGCAAAAGTCCGAAAAACGTTTCAGAAGGCCAATCTTAGGTTCAATAGTGATGTTATCTACAGGAGTAGTTGGGGAAGTTACAAATCTTATAACTTCCAAAACGATGGCTGGTTATCCTTTAATTACACATACGTGTTAGCCAAATTCACGCCCCTCTGATAATCCCAACCTTGTGACCTTTCATTAGTTTTACAAAGGTGGTTTAGTTTTGGGAAAGGTTATTATCATCCTTGCTTTAAAATTAAACTGTAAGCTAAATTTCTCCCAAAGTTAGCTTGGCCGATGCCCAGGAATGACCAAGGACAGCTTGGAGGTTAGAAGTAAGGTGGAGTCTGGCCAGGCGTGGTGGCTCACTCCTGTAATCCTAGCACTTTGGGAGGCTGAGGGGGGGCGAGTCACCTGATGTCAGGAGTTCAAGACCAGCCTGGCCAACATGATGAAACCCCATCTCTACTAAAAAATACAAAAATTAGCCGGGCATAATGGCAGGTGCCTGGAATCCCAGCTACTTGGGAGGCTGAGATGGGAGAATTGCTTGAACCCGGGAGATGGTGGTTGCAGTGAGCTGAGATTGCGCCACTACACTCTAGCCTGGGTGGCTGAGACTGCATCTCAAAAAAAAAAAAAAAAAAAATGTGGAGTCAACTATGTCAGATTTGTCCTACTGTAATAATTTTGCAAAGGCAGTTTCATAATCATAGGTGATTGATAATAGTGAAGCCTGATATGTTCACATTTGCCTTGAGTTAAGGTATCTGAAGTAGTACGTGTTGGAATAAAATAGAAGTGAACATGGCTTATATTCACATCCTTTATCATATCATACAGGAGATTCAATAAGTGTAATTGGCAGAAACAATAGCAACAACTTTGACCTGAACCGAAATTTCCCAGACCAGTTTGTTCAGATCACAGATCCTACGCAACCAGAAACTATTGCTGTAATGAGCTGGATGAAGTCCTATCCATTTGTACTTTCAGCAAACCTGCATGGAGGTATGGCAACTTTATATTCTACTAATTAGTTCTTGTTGAGAGCATTTGGAAATCCTGGTGGAATTTTATCTGTTTGTAGTGTTATGCTTTCTTAAAATGAGTATCGTGTTACTGCTTTTATGGCAGACAACAGTAAAGGTCTTTTCTCATTACTTTTTCAGCCAGTGTCCTGGCTGTTTCTTTCCTCCTGCTTTCTCTCATTTTTTTCCTCCTCTTCTCTTCTCCTTCTACCCCCATCTCTTCTCTCCACCCTTTCTCCTCTCCTTTCTCACCTACTACTTCTCTCTCTCCCTTCTCTTATCTCCTCTCCCCTTTCTTCTCTGTCTTGTCTTTTTTCTCCTCTCCTCCTCCCCCATCTCTCCCCCTACTCTGCTCTTCCTTCTCCTCTCCTCTTCCTCTCATAGTTCTTCAGGTATTTTATATTTATCTCTCACACTGGGAACTTGGTAACATATTCTTTGTCATTAATAAAAATTGATCCAAATGTTTAGTTCTGTTTTCTCCTTGAAGTTTAATAAATTCTTTCATGTAAATTTAGATTTTGATATTCTCTAATTTTCACTTGGTATGTCCTTAACTGCAGCAAAATGACCACATTCTCATGTAGTACCTGAGCTCATATACCTCCATATAATTTAGCAGGGATGGATCGGTTGAATAGAATGAGTGTCAAGATTAAAAATCACCACAACGTCCAACTAAGGTTGTGAATAAGAGTGAAGATATCAGTACCCAAGAGAACCAAAATGTGTCCACACGTAAACTCACTTGAACAAAATGTTCACTCATTTAATGTACAATGCTTATGTATATGAATGTTCAGTGTACACGAATGTTCATTCAGGATTATTCACAATAACAAAAAAGTAGAAACAACCCAAACAACCATCATCTGATAAATGGATAAATAAAATGTGGTCTGCCCTTACAATGAATATTATTTGTCTCGAAAAGGAATCAAGTGCTGATACATGCTATAACATAGATCCTTGAAACCTTATGCTAAGTGACAAAAGCCAGTCATAAGAGACCACATGGTGCATGATTATTATTTTTTTAAATCAAGTTAATGATTATATTTTTATGAAATTTTTATAGTAGGCATATCCATAGAGACAGAAAGTAGATTAAAGATTGCATTGGGCTGAAGTGAATAGTGGTAGGAGGTGATAGGGGAGTGACTGCTAGTGGATTTTGGGGTTTCTTTTTGGAGTTATGAAAATGTTCTATAACTAGATAGTGGTAGTGGTTGTACAACCCTGTGAATATAACCAACTTTAAATGGGTGAATTGCATGGTATTTGAATTACATCAGTAACACTGCTAAAAAACAAAAACAAAAACAAAACAGAGTAACAAGTATTAGCACCAGGGGCAATGGAGAAGAAATT